GGCCTATAGGAAGAAGGCTATACGGTGGCATCCTGATAAGAATCCTGATAACTTGGAGGAAGCCAATGAGAAGTTCAAAGATATCAGCGAGGCCTATGAGGTCCTCTCGGATTCTCAAAAGCGTGCAGCGTAATGTCTGGCGGATCAATCGCTGAGTTTTAGCATGGGAAAAGCATGCTCCACCTTTACGTAGGTATGACCAGTATGGATCAGATGGACCGCAGATGCAAGCAGGCGGAGGACCTGGCGGCTTTGGTGGTCAACATATAGACCCAAATGACCTCTTCCGAGCGTAGGCTTATTGATACCGTAACTCGGTGAATTACAACGTGATAGGTTCTTCGGAGGGGCCGACATGGAAGATATATTCGGAGGTCGAGTAAGAGGAGGCATGGGAGGACCAATGGGGGGAGGGGTAGTAGGGTCACGACTCATCCATCGGCCGCATATGAGAGTGGTGGAAGGTTCACTTCACGAGTTTTGGTCCGGGCGGTATGGCGTTCCAATTCGGGGGGCCCGGCATGGGCGGCTTCGGTGGTCCTGGTTTCGGGCGCCGACCGCAGCAGCCTGCAGTAGTGCCTATTGATGTGAGCTTAGAGGAGATATATCAAGGGTCGAATCGGCGGGAGACGGTAAGATGGGGTATCGAGAAGGCGCGGGGGAGGTCCTCAGCTTGCTACAGGTGAACGGCCATACAGCGGAGGTTAGAATCCCTAAGGGATGCCATGATGGGAAGAAGCTTAGGTAGTGAAGGAAGAGTGGTATGGCCGACGACAAGGCGTCGCACATTTGTCTGTCAGTTTTGGCTCCACCTCCTCGAGCAACGATGTCTCTTACGTAGTTGTACGTGAGAAACCTCACGACGTCTTCGTGAGATCAGGAGATGCCGATCTTGTCACATATGCAGTCCTGACGTTCATGGAATGGGTACTACATGCAGTGCTTATGGTATGTGGAGCTCTCTGGTCAGTTGGTGACGGGTCGGGTTGGGTACAGAATAAGAGGCCTGGACAATAAGGAGATAACGGTGAGAGCTCCTACGCTATGGGATGGACAGATTCGGATTGAAGGAAAGGTGATAGTGAGGCCACGAGGGAGTTGGAATTGTCGTTGGTGTAGCGTGGGCATGCAGTTTGCTTAGAAGTTGTCTGTATAGGGCTACCTGCCAACTTCGCATAGGGTATGGCTCAGTGATGAACTAAATTGTGTTAACTGAAAATCAAAGTATGTATTTGTAGAATGTGCATCGCTGTGGGAGTAGTCCTATGGGAGGTAGCACTACTCGTGTATGTTGTGCAGGGTATGCCTGTCGAGGCGGTGCCGGGCGAATATGGTGACCTTTACGTACGCAGCACTCCAATGAGTCCGGAAGCTTGGGAGCAGATGAAGCAACTGTTTAGGATGGTAATGGGGGGGGCTATTGTCTAGTGAGAAGTTGTCGATGATCAGGCTGGGGGTCTGTTCCTGGTCCTCTTGGTAATGTCCAATCCATCGTGGCTGTTCCTCATCCTAATGCTGAGGCCACTCTTCGGTCAATGAGGTGGGAGAGGCCATGCCTGGATGACGATAGTTCCTATAGTGTGATATCATGCTCAGACCATATTCAGTGCTTCGCTCCGCCTGTTTTGTGTATTATCTTTTTGTTTTTCTCCGTTACAGCAGACTTCTGTAGAGGGCCGTCATGATGGTCCGGAAGGGTCTCCCTCTGTGATTGCTGTTGTCGAATACATACCTTACAGTTCCGCCCCACTGTACTGCTGGCCATCAACGTCATCGATGTGACTGATACTAGTATGCTTCCTGTTCTATTACTCTCAAGTGTTGGTGTAGTGTTGTAGTA